AGGTGAGGACTTTAGCTGCTAGGCTATCACACCCTCAGCAAAAATTTTTTACTGTTATATAAACATACTGCTGATTTGTGTTGATTTTGCATTCTGCAACTTTGCCAAGCTGGTTTGTCAGCTCAAAATGTTGTTTACTGGAATCTCCAGGCTTTTCTGTATATAGAATCCCATCGTCTGCAATGGGTCATGTGACTCCCTACTTCCTGTTCCTATGCCTTTGCTTCTCTTCCTCTTGCTGAGGCTCTGGCTAGGGTCTTTAAAACTGCAACAGAGTGGACATCCTTCTCACTCTGATCTCGGGGAGAATGCGTTCGGCTTTGCTCCTGTTCAGCACGATGTTGACGGGTAACCTTCCTCGTCTGGGAGGTGTGCTCACTCTGGTCCAGGCTGGGGTGGGCTTGGACTGTGGAGGGATGCTGAATCTTATCACACATCTTTTCTGCAGTGACAGATGATCGCATGACGTTAACCCTTTGTGCTGCTATGCGATATTTCACATCTACCCAGCCAAATGCTGCAAACCAAGCTTCATTTTGTTTCTTTGAAAACCCTGTTGGTTTTCTCTCTGACTCTTCTAAAAATAGCTCCAATACTATTTCATCTCATCTGCTCTTCCAGAACCTTGCTGCACCCCCATAAGAGGTGGACTTCCGTGTCTCTCAATTCCACTAGGGTGCACCTCAATGAATACCCTGTTTGGATATGGCGGAAGGGAAGCATCTGCAAATGAGCAGCTGTCACGAGCGTCCACCTGGCCACACTTGGGGCTCTTGCCTCTGGAGACACCTACCAGTTGCAAGAGAGTCAGCCAGCTCTAAAGGAACCCCATGTTGGTGTCCCACCAATGCCACTGCTGGCATGAGCTGCCGCTGTGTGAACACAGGAGCCCTGGGAGAGCTGCCGGCTCTACTTACCCTCTGAACCACCCCACCAGAGGTGAGCCATTCCTGCCCAGCCCCTTGCCCAAACTGCAGACCCAGGACGGCTCACAGGGGTGACCCAGTCCCTTGCCCAAACTGCAGACCTGGGACGGCTCACAGGGGTGACCCAGCCCCTTGCCCAAACTGCAGACCCGGGACGGCTCACAGGGGTGACCCAGCCCCTTGCCCAAACTGCAGACCCGGGACGGCTCACAGGGGTGACCTTGGAGTTTCTCAGTGATGATTTTGCACATGCAGGCACCACATGTGAATGTGGAGGGAAACGCAGCCGCCAGAGGAACTGATTTGGAAGATGGTTTGGGAGATGACTGTGTTTAATTGTTCTGATATTTTTATTTTGAAAAGCAGAATTACAGAGATAGAAGAACAGAGACAAATATCTTCTATCCGCTGGTTTACTATCCAAAAGGCCACAATGGTCGGAGCTAAGCTAATCCGAAGCTGGGAGCCAGGACTTCTTCTTGGTCTCCCATGTGGATGCTTCATCAAAAATGGAGCAGCTGAGAGATGAACTGCTTCCATGTGGGATGCTGGAGCCTCAGGCAGAGGCTGAGCCTGCTGCATCACGACACCAGGCAGACAGCAAGTGAGCGAGAGTGTGATGCTACTGGTTCACTCGCGGAAATGCCTGCAACAGCTGAGGCTGAGCCAGGTCGAAGCCAGGAGCCTTGGAATGCAACCCAGGTGTCCCATACAGGCAGCAAGGCACCCACGGGCTTGAGCCATCAGCTGCTGCCTCCGAGCAGGCCAGCTGGCAGGAAGCTGGACACCTCCGCAGCATGTTGGCCCCTGTACCAGGCACCTGACCAAGGGTGTGGTGTTGGGATCGGGAGTGGGGCTGTGGGGGGGCACCTGCCCTGGCACACTGAGCTGTGGACAAGGGGAGCAAAGACTAGGGTGAGGACAAGAATAGGGCAGAGTGGCATTACAGACATTGGGAGGAGAGGACATGCATAGACTGGTATCTGTGCAGCCAGGGCCTGGAAGCCAGTGCTATGCCATCAGGATGGGTTGAGGCTGGGTAGCAGAGTGAGGGACCCACAGGGGTTAAGTGAGGGCTGGGTGAGGGGTGGCTCCTGGGCAGGTGCTTTGTTGCTAGTCCCTCATGCTTTGTTCTTTTGTCCTCTTGTCTCTTCTAGGAAGAGGCCGGTCTATCATGGTTCCCCACCCAGGGCTTGCTGATGGACACCCTATGTTATCTAACACGCCGGAGAGGGAGACGAGGACCACAGTACCTGGAAGCAGTGTTGGGAGATTCCATGCCATCTGGTGGTGGTAGGGATCAGAATAGTCCAGAAGAAGCAGGCTGTTTTGGGGTCTGGAGGTGGATGAGCTGAGCTGGTGCCACAGATGGGTGTGGCTGTGGCAGTGTGTGGGGTACCCAGGGGCTGTTCCACCTATAACAGGAGGTGGCCCTTCCACTCTTGGGTTGGAAACTCTTTGTCCCAGTTCAGGGAGATGGGACAGATTTCTCCCTTCCCCTCCAAACCCAGACATCCTCTCCCACATTAGGTGGAGGTCACACGATTGCAGCGTCCCGCTGGCAGCCGCAGTCCTGGAATGGGACAGGGCCTGCCTTCCCACACCCTCCCCCCAGTGGAGGAGAGGGACTGGCAGGGCTGTCTACAAGGCCCTAGGGGCAGGCAGGGCATGGTTAAGGATGGGACCCCACTGAGGGAGCAGGTGCTCATTGTGGCATGGCCAGGCCCTCAGTCCACACAGCCACTCTCCCCACCCCCAGAGCATGGGCCACAAGATGGTCAGAGCTCTCTGTCCCATGCACAGCTGCCAGACCTCCATGTCCCCACCTGTCTAGGCTTTTGCTGGCACACATGGCCCTGGGGCAGAATGATTTGTTAGTAGCTGCTCGGGCTCATGGTCATGGCTGGGCTGGTGGCCGCCAAGCCTGGCCAGCCAGGCAGCAGGGAGGGACGTGGCTGCTGCCCTTATCCTACCCCCACCCTCCTGCTCCGCCTGGCTAGGAGGACTGGCTTTCGTCTGTGACTTCAGACAGCTTCAAACTGTTGTGGAAAAACATTTTATTACACGTACTCAACTTGCTTCCAATGCAATGATTAATTTGTCTTGTATAATGGTGTCCAATGTTTGTCTTTTTTTTTTTCCTTTTCAAACCAGCACCACAAAAGTAAAACGCAATGCCCCGGCTACAGTACATAATGGAAGTTAACTAAGGGAAAATACATACAGCTGACTCTGCAGAGAGGCCCTCGCAGGGGCTCCTGTGGCCTGAGAGGGCTTCCTTTCGCACCAGTAAAAACAGCACCGAAAGTTGCGAGGCTCCGCAAAGGTACAGTACTTGACTGACAGTACAGGATGTGGCGAGCTAACGGAAGCATTACCACTGGCACCACGGTGTCCCCATGCACAGGGGACAGGACCGTCAGTCATGGCTGGGGCCGTGTCCAGAAGCAGGCTGGGGCTCTTGGCAGTGACTGTGTGAGCTGGGTGTGTCCGCAAGGTGTGGACTTGGAAGTCACAGTGTGCCTGCCGCACCTGCGTGGGGAGTGCAGTGCTTAGAGCTGGGCTGCCCCGGGCAGTGGCCACCTGGGCACGTGCAAGGCAACAGGCAGTATGGCTGTGGGTTCCCTGGCTCCAAAGGGGAAGCAACAGCCTGAGTGGGAGATTGGGGAAAACTGAACCCCAGTCCCCCCACTACCCCGAGTGGGAGAGTTTCATGGAAACAGGGCTGGGGAGGTGCAGTGGCCACCCCTCCCTCTAGCAGGCAGAGACCCATGCAGCAAAATCTGGCCCAGCTGATGGGACTGGGAAGGCAGAGAGCCAGGGGCCTGCTTGCTTCCTTCTCTTTCCACGTCAGCTAATGTCAAAGAGACAGCACCAGTAAGCCAGGGAGCACCTGGCAATGAAGCCTCGGAGGAGCCCATGTGGAACCAGCAGGGGAAGGTGGGCTCCTGGGGTGGAGTCCCACGATACAAGCACCCAGAAAGAAAGCACCTCAGTTTGGAGCGGGGGACCACCCTGCTCCTAGCCTTCCGAGGGGCAGTCAGCCCCACTCTGCCCACCCCTCTCCAGCTAGCCTGGCCATTTCTTGGGCTTCTGCCAAGGGACAGAGCTCTGGCAATGGCAGGGTGTGGGCAGCAGATCTTCCTGTGTCAGTATCAGCCCTGCCCACCCCCACACCCTCACGGAGGTGGGCCGCTAGTGACATGACAACAGTGAGTGCCCCAAGGCTGGGCTCAGGGTGGAGTGGGCTCGGGTCTGCACCTCCACTCCAAGCTGTCTCAGAAGGGGGTCCACTCCAGGATGGGACAGAACAGCTCCCTTGCACAACCCAGGCCTGGGTGACGCATGTGATTAAAAGTGTAAGTGAAGGTTCAGTGGGGAGCTACTGGGAGGCAACGTATTATCCAAAAGGTGTAAAGCTCTGCCATGGCTGGTTAGAGGGGGCACCCCAGGAGGTGGAGAGGGTATGGGATATCCCAGCTCACCTTTACGTTCACAATTAACATGTGGCCCACAACACCTCCAGGTCAAGGTTCTTCCACATCCCTGCGTGCTGGCAGAAGGGGACGCCTCCTGCTGCTGTCACGGGTGAGGCCCAGAGCAAAGCAGAGAGAATAGGGCCTGGTTCGGTGTGGAGGGGGAAGGCAGGTGGCTTCCAGGTCTCGCTGGAGCCATGTGGACAAGGTCCCTGCCTGCCTGCAGTGAAACACCTAGTGTTTGAAGACATTGTCCTGGGTACTTCAAGCACCGGGGACCGACAATCCTGAGACAGCCTGGACAGAAGCGTGAGATGCTTTTGCTCCACTGACAGCTGCCTGCCCGTGGGAGGCAGCCCTCCAGAGGGACAGGGAATGTCACCACTAGTCTGGGGCAACCTGTGCCTACTTCCTCCCCTATCACAGAAAGCCATCCAGTGGCTGTTCACAATATATTAAGCACTAATGGCAAACGTCAAGTCCACTGTCAAGTTCTACGCACTTGGGGCAACCTTGGCGGGCTCTGCGGGCAGGCCCCCTTCCCACCTGCGGTGCCGGGTGTCAGTGGGCACACGCTCACAGTTGGCTGCGCCCAGCGTCAGGTGCTCGGGGGCAGCAGCGGGTGCATCTTGCTGGCGTAGAAGTCCCTGCAGGTCTGGCAGCAGCGCTGGTACCACCGCATGTCCTGACAGAGGTTCTTGTCTCGGATGACCCGGCAGTACACTGCCCACTGGTCACGGGTGCACTTGTAGGTCAGGGCAGCTGATGGGGGCAAAGGGGAGAGAGTATATCTAGGGGTGAGGGTGGTTGGCATGAGCCTGTCCGGATCCATGCACACACAGGTGTGGCCCCACAGACTGCCTCCTGTCCCTCACCATGCTCCTAGCAGGGACCCTGTAGGATGCTGCTTTCTGCTACAGGGACCCAAGTGCTTGGCTGAATGCGGTGGTCCTGCTGTCCCCTCCTGGGGAGCGGGGCAACGGGGTGACACGGACCTTCTGCATCTGGGTAGGGCTCACTGTCACGAGGGGTGGAGGGGACATGCTGCTGCCAGGGGCATTCATAAAACACGAGAGGAGCCCCAGCAGGCTGGTCTGGGCAATGAGAAGGGCAGTCTCTGAAGGATGCCTGCCCCCTCCCCCAAACACAGCCACCCCCAAGCCTTCCCTTCAGGTGGTATGCTGCCCACAGGGCAGGGGACTTCTCTTTAGGAAAGCGACAGCTCCACTCCCCTTTGCCACTGACCCACAGCATGGGTGGCTAAAGGGCCAGGCCCCCTGCACTGAGCTGTCACCCCTCCCCCGAGGCTCCTGGGGCGTTGGCCTACACCGTACTCCTCTCTCTCTCTGCCAGGACTAAGATCCTCCCTTGGGGGCGCGTGGCCGCTCAGGCACCTGGTCTGGGACAGCAGGCAGACAGCCTACCTCAGGACCCTCTCCCTACAGCTGACTGTTGGGCTTGTTGTTGGGGAAGCCCCAAAGTTCATGGAAAAAATAGGATGAAAAGATGATGCTATTTGGAGCAAAACTTGAAACCCACACTCATGGGAGACCATCAGAAGGTCAGAGAACACGTGGTGACAAAGCTCTGCATGGGCTTTCAAATGGTTTTGGGCCACAAATCAATGAACTTACTTTTAGAAGGTTGCTTGTCTGTGTGACAAGGCCCAGGAAGGGGAGCAGGGGCACAGCACCCCCGGGAGGCCGGACCCATAGGGGCACTCACCGAGCCTGGGCGAGGTGATGGTGTTCACATTGATCTTGTCATTGCAGACCTCCTGGTGGCACTGGCTGTAGGCGGCGGGCTTGGTCAGGGCGGTACACTCGTTGCCATGGCGCCCGGTGACCTTGTGCATGCACTGCACCACGCGGGACTGCAGGCCCTTCCCGCAGGTCGACGAGCACTGGTGGGGACAGGGACAGGCTGAGCTGGGTGGGGGTAGGGCCCAGCTCCTGTGCCCCATTTGCTGGGGTGGCAGTCACTCAGGATGTGGGCACTGCCCCCTGGAGGAGTCTGTCCCAAATGTTCAGCTCTGCACTGTCTCCCTGCCCTGGAGTGCACCTGTGGGGCTCCTAGCTGGGGGTGGGGCTGGGCGAGAGTGTTCTTCAGACCAGAGGGAGACTGGAGCCTTCTCCCTGCAGCATGTCAAGGGGCCACCAGAACAAGCAGCTTCCTCAGTAATGCGCCAGCACCTGGTTGTGGCTTCCAGTCTCCCCCCCGTGAGGCCAGCGCTTCCTGCTGAGTGTCATCTGAGGACAGCGGGTGGTCAGGGCTGAACTGTCAAATCACCACGATGGCACTGAAGTTCTGGCTTCGCTGCCAAGCAGAACATACTGGGCCCTGCCATTCCTGAGCTACTGAATAGGATGGCATGGTGATCCCTACCCCCAGGAGGGACTGGGCCTGCTTCCTACAGGGGTCTCCCCAGCCTTGGGCCTTGCCCTGTGCTGGGCATGGCGAGGAGCCCAGACTGATTGCAGCTGAATTTCCCACAAGCCTGGAGGGTGGGGTAAAGAAAACACAGTCCCACCTTTCCTGCATACTAGAGCCATGCTGTAATACCTGGCGCAGAAGGAGACTCTGGGGCCCTTGCTGCCCGGGCCATCTACTCACAGGGTCCCAAGTGCCAAGGAGTAGCCCTAGGGGGACTATCTCCTCCCATTTCCTGGCACGCTCCCTTAGTGAACTCCCCGAGGAGGGACCTGCTGGGAACCCAACCCTGAGCCCTCTGCATCTTGGCCCTTCTGCTACTCTGGGAGCCAGAGCCCCGCCTGTGCTGCCTCTAGCTGGTATCCACGCAGCCCATGGTGCCCACACAGCCCAGTTTACCAACAGGGCTCCCAGAAACCCTGCAAAAACCCCAATATGGACAAGACCTCAGGTGTAACACCTGGCTCCTGTGGGCCATGAATGGCCAGGACATCAGGTATCCATCCAGCTGACAGCCGGGGAGAAACAGTGGAAGATCGCCCAAGATGGTCTTCTGCCCATGGGAAACTCAGAAGAAGCTCCTGGCTCAGTCCTGGCCATTGGGGCAGTGAACCAGTGTTTGAAAGACCTAGTCTCTCCCTCTCTCTAACTCAGACATTCAGACGAATCTTACACATCAAGGTGAGAGGGGGATGTTCTGAGCAGGCTCCAGGGCCCTGCCTCACATCTGGCTATGTGTTGTGGGCAGAAGCATCAGAGAGAGCTGGTGCCACTGAGGACCCCTTGGACACCACACAAGACTCCAGCCCAGTGCTTCCGGCAGAAGGGGCCCAGCAAAATGAGGGGTGACATCACAGGAAAAGGTGCCCACAGACTGATACCTTGACCATGGAGAGGGGCTGGTGCAGGATCTCTGCTCAGCTGTTGCCCAGGGTCCACACAGAGTTACCTGGCGGGCTTTTACCCTGTGATGAGGACTGGACATGGTTGCTTAATAGACTCCAGGTGCTTGGCCTTAGGGCTAAAGCCGAGTACCCGCCCTGTGCCCTTGTACCCAGGGCAGCACTGGCCGCTGAGTGTCCACTCAGGGGCACTGGGTCAGAAGGTGCATAGGCTTCAGTCAGCAGCTTTTCTTGGCCAATAGTGGGCCACCTTCTAGAGAAAAGAAGAAAGGCCCTATCCTAGTTGGGGGCAGTGCGCTGGCGCCTGGAATCCACCAATACTCCAGGCAGGGCTCACTGGAGACCCCATGAGCTTCCCTGGTGGGAAATGAACAAACTCACCCCCATTCTTTGCCCCCTCCAACACTTGATTCTCCTGGAGACCTCACCATCCCAAGGCAAGGTTGGGGAGGAACAGCCTGGGAAAGAAACCATCTTTATTCCCACAGACCCATGCAGCACAGTGCAGGGCCATGCCACACCACGTGGCAGGTCACAGCAAGCACATGCCAGGATGTGAGAGCCCTCTAAACTGAAAGACCTCTCACAAGATGCAGACCACCCAGACATGGCATGAAGCACTCCAAAATGGCACGCACCACCAACACAGTGCGTACCCCAACATGCTGTAAATCACCCCAACATGGCAGAAACCACCCCAACGCAGCGTAAATCACCTAAACACAGCAGTTTTTCCCACAAGAGCAAAATTATGCAACATAGTGCAAGGGAGCTCTGACACAGCACACATCTCCCCATTGCCATGGAGTCACTGGAACACAGGGGACAGTCACCCTGACATGGCATGGAGCAGCCTCAACACAGGACACCGAGTCACCGCACAGCATGAAGCCACGGCGTGTGTGGAACGTCTGGATAGGACTGCACTCCTACATGGCGCGAGGTAGGTGGCCGTGACCGGTGAGCCTCTGCCCACCGCCCTGGTGCCTCACCGAAGGTGGATGCTGCTGGGGAAGTAGATGCCACCTGTATAGGCATGTCCACTTGTTCCCACTCTACTAAAGCGGCAATTTCAGAGTTCAGTTGTATCACATATTTGAGAAAGAAACTAGCAGTATTCCTAAACCCTAATATCTTTCCATACATGTTTATATATGAATATGATAAGTTCTACAGTTTTAAAATACTCCCATTTAGTTGAAACAGTAAACACACAGATTTTCAGTTACTGGCCTGATTCCTATGTGCCTACAACAGCTGGATAAGGGCCAGGCAAAGCCAGCAGCCCAGAACTCCATTCATGCCTCCTCTGGTAGGGACCCCAGCTTCTGAACCCTTATCTGCCTCCCAGCATGCATGAGCAGGAAGCTGGGTGGATACAGGTGTCAGGACTTGGTTCCTGCACCAATATGGGAATGTGGGATCCCAAGTGGTGGCTCACCTGGCTGGTCGTAGCATCTGCCCCAGTGTGCTGCATATTATATGTAGCTGTGGGACTGGTCCACCCATGCTTACAAAGGGTTTTATGCACACATTAAAATAAAACTGAAGCCCTACTTCCTGGCAAAGCAATGGGTAGCATATAATCCCAATTATACTGTTTATCCCAATAATATCTTATTTTCATGACTGTTTGGTATGGATGAAACTCACTTTTAGCAAAGGGTAACAGGAGACCTTTAAAAGGTTTGTATTAAAATGGGATTAAAACTGGAGGGGACTGCACTGTAGCACACAGGTTAAGCTGCACCCCCATGACACAGATACCCCTTATGGGCACTGATTCGTGTCCTAGGTGCTCCACTTCCGGTCCAGCTTCCTCTAATGTGCCTGGAGAAAGCAGTGGGAGATGGCACCAGTGCTGGGGCTCCTGCCCCTACATGGGAGACCCAGGTGCATGGCCTGGCCCTAGCTACTGTGGTCATTTGGGGAGTCAACCAGTTGATGGAACATTTTTTTAATTTTATCTTTAAAATGAAACTGTTAGTGTTTCCTGGTGCCAACAGTTTTGAAAGCCTTGCATAATTTTTTGTAATGCACATTTCCCAGGAGCATCTTGAGGGTAAACACAGATTTCAACTTTTTTTTTGCATCATCAAACTTTACTCCCTCCTCCCTGTAGCTGCAAAGTGCTCATCCTGCAGGAGCAGTTAGAGGCCACTTTGGCCCCGAGGCAAGCGTGCAGCCATGCCTCTCTCCAAGCTTGCTGCTAGCTGCTGTGAGCTGCAGTTTCACTCCAACCTGAAGAGGGTCTCTGCTCCCCTAAAGCATCTCCTGACGCTCCCCCCGACCCCCGCAAAAAAAGTTACACACATTAAACTACAAAGACATACAGGGGGAAGCAAGAGCGATCCTGACAACCTACTAAGAGGAGGACATATGCACAGAGCAGGGGTGGACCCAGAGTGGAGCAGGAGGACAGGAAGAGGCCTGTATCCCACACCTGGAGACTCCAGGATCCCCACCAAGAACTATCAGTACGGGCACCAAGGACTGCATCCCAACTACCAAAGAGACCACGGAGAACTGGAATGCCTTCAGAGCCCGCAAACTCAGAGGGCATCCCCTCCCGACCTGGATCTACTACATGGGGTGAAAGAAGTCCGAAATCTTTCTCATGGGATCCAAGGATGTGGGAACAACAGCCAGGAACCCAGAGCGGTCCTTGGAATCAAAAGAACAGTAAACTTCCTTCAGGACTAAGGAAAGAAGCTTTTTCTTGTCCTCACTTAGTTCCAATGTTGGGTCTCCACCCTCTCTGCAATGACTGTCAGGGTTACTCCAGAGCCCCCCTCCAAACACACACATACACACACACACAAATTAGAATAGATAAACAGAGAACAACAAGGAAAGCTTGGTCAGCATGGACTCACACATACTTTGCTAGGTAGGACACAAAGCAAGTACTCCTCACCAAGGTACCGAAGATTTCTCTGCACACCCCTCCTATAACGGTTATGCACCTCAATTGTGGAAATGTCAGTGTTGGGGCTTTTGATTGATTGGGTTTTTACTCTGTTGGCTCTACCTTCAGACCAGAGAAGGTCCCTCCAAAAAGCCGTTGAACTTATCTGGGCAATAAGGTGAGGGTCTCTATGCTTGGTATATGCTTGCAATGAAGGAATCTCAACTGAACTTGAACTGTGGTCACGCAACACGGTGGAGGAATCCACCATGGAAGGAAAGTTATGGGAGGGGTGATGGGAATCCCAGTACCTATAAAACTGTCACATACTAAACAAAACAAAACAAAACAGTTACACTAGAGAGGGAGTTTTGGACATGGAAAGGTACCACGGAGCAGGTGTTGAGCGGGTGGGGCCTGAGAGCAGGGTGATGCTTGAGCTGCTAGCAAGCCCGTGACTGACAAATCGTTGTTGAAAGGAACCTCCAGTTTAGCTCCTGCTTGTTGCAAACCAGGAGCCTATGATGTCACTGGGCATGTGCAGGCAGGTGGGTGAGGAGCTGGAGGCAGGGCGAGACTCTCAGCCCTGCCACCTTTCAGCTGTGGGACCCTGGGGAAAAGCCTTGGTTCCCTCCTCTGATAAGCAAAAGGCTCAGCAGGGGCCACTACTGTGGCACAGTGAGTAAAGCTGCCGCCTGCAACGCTGACATCCTATATGGGCACCGGTTTGAGTCCTGACCGCTTCACTTCCAATCCAGCTCCCTGCTACTGCACATGGGAAAGCAGCTCCCTCAGCCACAATGGCTCATGCACCTGCTACTTCCATGCGCATTCACCAAGCAACTGGGCCCTAGAGACCCAAGCACAGGGTTAGGCATGAGAAGCCTCCACTTGGGATGCCAGCACCCCATATTGGTGGTGGTGGGGGGACAGTTCGAGTCTTGGCTTTTCCAGCTCTGATCCACCTGCCTGCAGTGCTCCTGGGAAGGCAGCAGCTAATGGCCTCTGGCACCTATGTGGGAGGCCTGGATGGGGTCCCTGGCTCCTGGCTTTGGCCTGGTGGTTTTCTGACAGTTGCAGCTATTTGGGGAGTGAATCACAGGATGGAAGGTCTCTGTCTCTCGCTCAGCCTTTCCAGTAAACAAATCTTTAACCACCACCACCACAAACCCTCTCACGGGTACACAGATCCTGGGTGGAGCTTGACCTTCCACCTACACTTCTGTCCCCTGCTTGCTGACATGAGCTTTGCTGTTGGCTGTGGGCAAGTGGCCTGTGGGGACAGCCTTGCTGCTGCAGCGGGGCCCATGAGCACCACCAAGGCGCCACTGCAGCAGGGAGCAGAGGTAACGGTGATTGGAGCAGATCCAAACAGGACCACCTGTGATGTCTCCCCACACTGACCTCTTCCCCCAGGAAACACAGGGGGTCCACTGAGAACTGGGCTTTCCCATCCACCCAGAGGTGATGGGAAAATTGCTGCACCTGTTGAGGGGGAGCCTAGCCTGCACCCCGCTAGTGATGATGGCAGCCGCAAAAGGACCAGAGTCCCCTCCTTTGACATCTGTGCAACACTTGCTAATTGGTTCCTAGGGAAGCATGTGGTATGCACATGTACACATGGAACACACACACACACGTGCATATAATGCACCGCGTTCATGGGCATACTGTGGCAATCACATGTGTATCACACACATGCACACATGCAGGTAGCAGGCCCTGCAGCTGTCCTCTGTGTGGGGGAGCAAAGCTGGGCAAATGGTAGTGCCACATGGAGCCATGTTGGACACCCTGTCTAGTGGGACTAGGGAGAGCTGGCTCCTGCTCTCCCAGCTGTACCCGGCACAAGAGATGCCAGCCCTGGAAAAATAGCCAAGCCAGCTGTGGCAGAAATGGGCCCAGAGATCTCCCGATGCTTGTTACCCCTTGCAAAGCCACGATGTGTCATTCACCATGATACGACCAGGCAAAGCAGGCAGACCAGCCCGTCCCACCTGGAAGCCTTCACAGTGGGCTCTGTGCACCTGGAGGAGTGTGGAACGGGTCATGCCATCCTCGCCTATAAGCACGGGGTGGGGGCTGGGCGCTCGGAGGCCTCCAGGTGCTCTTAGGCAGCTCTGCCTTGCACTGTTCCTAGTTACCGGTTGCCCCCATGCTGCTCCCTGCACCAGCAAGTCCAAAGCCCTTGAGGAAGCAACAGTATCCACAATGGTTTGGCTGGGGGAGTCCGGGCCCCAGCTGGCTGATGAACAGGTGAGGGCACCCTGGGGCTCAGAGGCACCAGCCCTGCACCTCTTGAACCCTTCTAACTTTTCCTCACCATGTGGCCTGACCATTGCCCTAGAGGGGTGGACAAGTCACTAGAGTGTTCTGAGCCTCTGCTGCCACCTGTGTACAGTGGTGACAGCCCCAGCCAGCAAGGACAGGAGACACGAGGCACGGGGTTGCACCACAAAGAGGAAGTGAGTGTCATGTGTCTGTCCAGCCCGATAAATGGGGCCCAGAGTGGAACTGACCGTGCCTAACTCTGCCTCCTGCCATGGGCCACCTGCAGCCACAGGGTCAGTGGCAGCGCAGGCTGCTCTAGGGTGTGGCCACCAGGACCCTTCTAATTCTCCAGCTGAGATGCCAGCTTCAGTGCCCTTCATGCCTGGATATGTGGCATCAGCTCAGTGTCATTCTATCCATCACCGTGTTTCCCCTTCCACATCCGCCTGACTTTTTGTGGCCATTCAGGCATAACGCAGCCAGCTCTGCTTTGGGGGCCCCTACACACAAGCAGGCCTGGGCAGGCCGTGGCTGTCACACAGTTTTTGTGGAAAAGTCTCCGTAGATCTACTGCCAGTTCTTACACACACGCCCATCCCTAGGGAACAGCAGTCACTCAGAGGCGGCAAGTGAATGGCCAGGGAAGGGTGGGACGGCAAGGAGCTGAACTGGCCTCCTTGTTCTGGGTCCCTAGCTCTGGGACCCCACATCCCTGGCCCTTTTGCTCCGTCAATCCTCCAGTCCCTTGCCAAGGTGCCTGGGGTGAATGGAACAAGTGTTTGCAAAATGTCCTTTATCAGTCTGCCTTGCCTGAGGCTCCTCCTACACACAGATGGACAGGGATGCCCAGCCCGTGGCAGGATGGAGCTGCATGCCCTTGCCTGAATCTTTGGGCTGCATTTGGTTTTCTCAATGCACTCTATGAAGTGGGCTCTGCCAGCAAGCTTCCAGGCCACTGGAGTGGGCAATGAAGAGAAAGGAGGTATACATGGGCAGCGCTGGGCTAGGCAGTGCGTTTGCCAGGTGGATGGGGGCCTCATAGCAAGGGCCATGTGCCCTGTCACTGCTGGGCCAGGACAGGAAGGCCAGCGCGCTCTGCTCACCTTGGACCAGTCCCCAGTCTTCCACTCGTAGCAGCCGGAGTAGTCCTCGCACGGCTCCTCGGCTCTGGGCTGCATGGACGCATCACATTTGCCCTGAGAGTTGGTGCACGTCACCGTACGCTTCTGCGTGCCTTTCCCACAGCTGGTGGAGCACTGTAAGACATGGCACGGTGTTCACCCCAGGGGCAACCAGCTCATGCCCATCAACACCAGCAGCAGGTGCTGCTGTGCCAGGCTCAGGCAGGGGCATGGAGAGGATGCCCGTGCTGTGCTCTGCCCTCAGTCTGAAAAGCCTAGTGCATGTGAGACTAGTGCATGGAAGTTAGCAGTCAGAGTCAGGTCTGCCAGCATACAGTACACCTGCCAGGAGGGCAGGAGGCACCGCTAGAGTGGGGAGAGCCTCCAGGTTCTGTGATAAAGCCCCTGACCTGGATGGGAGGAGGAGGAGGTCCTCAACAGGTGCCCCGGGGGATGCTTCAATGTGGGTAACAAGGACAGCGTGCTATTCCCTGTGGCAGCTCATCTCCCAGGTGGGGCTCCAGGGAAAAGGATGTGCCGGGCTTACAAGCAGCAGTGACCACAGTCAGGAGGCAACAGGACGCAGGTGCTGGGCTATGAGCATCCTCCTGCCCAAACAGAGCCTGCCTGGGACCTCGGGGAGGCCATGACGGCAGGTGGCATGGCTGGCCAGCCGAGGTGGCCTGTGTGACTGGCCAGCGTAGGGCCTCCTTGCAAAGTCCTGACTCGGAGGGAGATGAGTGGCTTGGGCAGATGGCAAGCCTGAGGTGGGACTCAGTTTTCCAAAATAAAAGCAGGCTGCCTAGGGACTCGACTTCACAGAGCTCCTCGGTATAAGTGGCAGCAACTTGCTGCATCAACCCCCAGTGTCCCGGATCTCCCTGTTCAGCACCCAGCCGAGGGCCCTGGGATGGATCACTGCTGTTTGGCATCAGATGGAGCACAAGCTCAGGCAGTGGCTGTGATGTTGCTGGGAGGACCAAGGACAGAGGCGAGGGCATGGCTTTGACCCTGCAGGTGACTCAGGGACCATGGATGTGAGTGGTCAGCTTCGAACAACTTGGCACCCAGGGCTTCTGAGCAGGAAGGATTAGGACCAGGAGAGCCAGCATGCTCAATCAAGGGCTGCCTCCTGCCTGCCCATGAGGCAAGGCTTCTGGACTGTTCCATAATTCCCCATCCCAGCCCCCAAGAGTGCTCTGCACATTCCAGGGTCCGTGTGACTGACTGTCTTGAAGCTAGAAGCCTGTCACTGCTCCTGCCCCAGTTCAGCACCTGCCTTCCTTACTCTCCCACCTCCCTGGCCCTTGAATCGCCAGCCCTGGTTGTACAGCCCATTTCTTTCCCCCACCAAGCCCTGGCTTGGCCCTCTTTACTCTGGGGCCCTGAGGACAAGGCCCACTGGCCTCCTTCCCCTGAGGCAAGCCCAGGCACTCACCTGTGACCACTCAGACGCCTCCCAGATGGACAGGCAATCTTGGCCTTCACAGCTCTGCACTGGCGCTGGCCGGGGGCCCGGGCAGTAGAGGGGCCGCGTGGTGACATGGGTGCCATTCTGCAGCTGGTACACGCACGACACCTCCCGGTGCTGGATGCCTTTCTCGCAGGTGGCCGAGCAGGGGCTCCACGGGCCTGCCACCCACCTGCTCAGAGAGAGGGAGGGCAGTGAGCGGAGGACTGCTGAGAAAGGCCATTCCTTCCTGCCCCAACGGCTGGGGGAACAGAACCGGGAAGCTTTGCAGTGGGCTCTGTGGAGCAGCCGGAGCAGCCTCTGGCTCCACAGCTTGGAGTGGACAGTGGTCTGCACAAACACAGCTACACCAGGTTGAGCCACTGTCTGCAACGGTCAGTCCCGCAGCTAGTGGGGCTCTGTCTGCCCGCTGTCATGGACATGCTTGGCTCTTAACGTGTGGGTGACATGTGCTGGCAGCTCTGCATGTGGTGACTTGATTCTGTTCTGATTCCCTCCTCCTATGCTTTGCTGTAACATGATGCAGGGGACTGCACACATGGCTTGATGCTGGTGTGTGCCAGGGGCTGCTGTTCCTACATCTCTTGCTAACTGGCACAGCGCCTGACCAAGGACCCCAGCCTGTGCTGGGGTTGGCAGCATAGAAGAGCTCTTCTCAGAGCTCACCTGCCCCCAGCTGGGAGAGGATCATGATTTCCATCTGGGTCTCTGTGCACCCCAAGGGGCGGGGGGGGGGCGGCTCTGGCCAAAGGGCTGCCCATGTCCTGGAGGGCCACTGAAGGACACACCCTCTGCTGTTGGTCCCTGGATGAGTGACAGACTTAGCCCTCCCTGCCTCTCATCCTCATGTCATGCCAGTTCCCAGGTGTTCCCCAGCGGACAGTGCAGTCTGAGCTGCTTGGGTTGCCACGCAGCTCTGCCCCCTCAGCCCTGGCAGTCTTTAGTTCCACCTGAAGCCACATCTGACCATGCCTTGCGGAGCCACACGTAGGACCCCTATCATGGCTCCCTACTGGCTGGGTCTCTGGGTAGACATGGGAGGGTGCTGAGAGCTGTGCATCCCCAAAGTCCAGCAAGTGGCCCTCTGCTTGCTGGATCCACAGGAGGCTGGGGTGCACCTGCAAGTGCAGAGCAAGCTGCCAGTTGACTGTGCCACAGAACGTGGCAGGTGACTGCTCGTGACTGTGGCTGTAACTGACAGGAGATGAGGACTCCAGACGTAGAATAAGGGTCCCATTTGGCACCTGACAAATGCTCAAATGTCACTAAACGACACAGCCAGGTAGGTGCTCCAGTGGGATGTGGGTGGTGATCCTGGCCTGCACAAAGGCCACTTGTGGGACACATGGGGAGGAAAAGCCAAGTGAGGCTCAGGAGGCCCACCTGTTCCTGCCACCCCCTCAATGGCTTGAAAAGCTGCATCTGCCTGGATAAAATCCTGGAGGGCAGGGAGGGGAGGTGGCTCTGACATGTGTGGCAGCATGGTGACACTGGGGACAGCCAGTTGCAGAGACACACGCTCACCTGTGCTACCACAGAGATGGAAAGCAGAGTGCGGTCACTGGGTCTGCGGGCTGGGAAACTGCTGCCCAGCGGGGGTGGAGTTTGAGCTGGGGAAGAAGGAAGGCAAAGAGGCAGGTGGGAGGCAAGGGCCATGTCCCCCACACCCTTGAGCTGTGCACATGGGAATGGTAGGGACAGAGTGCCATCACTGTGTCACCTTCTTCTGACCTGATGCTAATCCCAGTGAATCTCAATTAAAAGGAAGACACGAGCAAGCCCTTTGTATCCAACTTGAGACAGAGACACGGTGTGGGGTGCTGCTCCCCGGTAGAAGCTGAGCTGACAAGTGGTCTGCTCAGGGAGTCCAGGGTCCACTTCCTTCTCACCCCCAGAGTGGGTGGAAGGAAGGACCTGCTGGCAGCAGCCCAGTGCCTCCTCTGTGCCGGGGACCTTCCCTGCAGTCACCAAGTTCATCAAAATGTGCAAACAGGGGCTGGGTGTGCTTCTCCGTGCACCTGCCACAGAGACCAGGTACAACACACCCAGACCTGACACACACCGAACACCATGCCAAGGAACACAGGCCCAGGGCCATGGGGTGATCTACGAGGCACCACTTAATGCCCACCAAAGCAGAAGCATTGAAAGAGTAACTGAAACGTCACATTGGCTGTGATCAGAGACGGAATTCTTACAGAGCTGGGGACTGGCGACACACAGGGCAGTGGTCCCTCCATGTCTGTGCTCTTGTTTCTGCAATTTCAATCATTAAAACATTAAATGGAAAATTCTAGAAATTAGTTTTAAACGTTACACTCTTCTGAGCAGTGTAATGCAATTCTGCACCATTCCATCCCATCCAGCCTGCACCTGCACAGGAGACCCGAAAGCAGCTCCTGGCTCCTGGCTTCAGATCGGCTCAGCTCTGGCTGTTAAGGCCATATGGGGAGTGAACCAGTGAATGGAAGATCTTCCTCTCTGCCTCTCCTCCTCTCTGTAAATCTGCTTTTCCAATAAAAATAAATAAGTCTTTGAAAGGAGAGAGAGACCCAAAGCACGAAGTGGAGACACGCAACATGGACTACTAGGGGGAAGCCAGGAAGTACCACTGTCTTGAAGAAAAAAAAGAATGTTCTTGCCCAACAGGGAAACAAACACCATTCACTGAAGTTGCTGCTAAGATCTACAGTAGGAATGAATTTGTCATGACTGGCACTGTGGCATCGTGGGTAAAGCCACTGCCAGTAATACCGGCATTTCATATAGGTGTCGGATCCTGTCCCAGTTGTTCCACTTCCAATCCCCCTCCTGCTAAGGGCCTGGGAAAAGGAGAAGATGGCTCTGGTGTGTGGAAGACCTGGAGGAAGCTCCTGGCTGCCAGCTTCAGTCTGGCCCAGCCTTGGCTGTTGTGGCCATCTGGGGAATGCACCAGCACAGGGAAGAGCCCTGGCTTTCCTTCTCTCTAACTCTGACTTTTGAAGCAGCACGTTTTCATTGGGAGCTTCGGCCCCATGTGCAGATGGGCTCCTCTCTGAACATGGAAATTCCTGTCGGAAGCTTTCAGCAGTCAGGCTGGCACACATTCACTGACCTTGGCTGCAGAGAACACCTGATGCCCTGGATGCCTGCACACAGCTGCCAGTTTAAGGACTGGCTGCCCGGCCCCAGATCATGGAGGTTGTGTGCTCAAGGATCACTTCATACCCTAGTTTGAAAAACAAGACTAAAACCCGGCTTCCTCCTAATTTAAACATGCTGGAACCATGGGCAGCACCAGGGCCAGGCTGCAGGGCACCTGCCTACATGTTTAAATCAGGAGGAAGCCGGGTTTCAGTCTTGCTTCTAGAATTGCTGCCCTGCTTTAGTGATGCATGCTGGGAATTGCACATGAGCCCCAGAAAATGCTCCTGGGGCAGGGGGAGGGAAGGGTTTCAGGGCTATCCTGGGCATGGGCTCTAAGGGACAATGGCAAGGCTGCCAGCAGCTTCTTGCAAAAAGCTTCCAGAACCAGGATTTCACAGCTCTGCCTGCCCCACCCCAACCCTGGCAGCACAGGGGGATGGCTAGGCCCCTCGTCAGCTACCACAGTCGCCACCCTGCTGCTCTCTGTTCAAAGCCAGGGGCCTCCACCTCTGCTGCTGGTTACAACTAACGGCCCTGATCCTGGAGGATGGCAGAGGCCACAGCCCTGGGGAGCCTGCAAACAAACTACCTGGGGGGATGGTCATCCAGGCAGGAATGATGCAGGCTCAGCAGGTGCTTGGACACTCGAATCCTCTGTCAGGGGCTGGCGTTTGGCAGCGTGCAATGACCAAAGGTGCTTGGGGAACAGGATTTGCCATTGCAGCTCTTGGCTTGGGTGACAGGTGTGACACAGCCACATCCCCTCCAGGATGGCTGAGGTGCCTGGCCTTCCACAGCCTCCACTCTCTCCCCTGGCCTTGCAGCACAGCCTGCCCTGCCCTGCCCTGGGTCCAGCTCCCTGGGGCACTTGGCCCCACGGACACTGTGAAGCAGGGTCTGGCTGACACTCTGCCAGGGCAGTGTGAGACCCAGGGACTGACAAAGGGGCAGTGGGGAGCCTGCCATGCCCATGCTTCTGGGCGTGTGTGCATGGGCACAAATTGTTCTTGTCCCCAGGGCCAGGCCATGGGAGTCAGCATGCAGTGCATGTCTTGTCATGCCCAAGCAACTCGGTTCTCATAGGGGACTTCAGATCTGCCCACGTCTCCACATCTCACTGTCCCTCACCTGGGTCCTGTCACAGGCTCCCAACTGGCCAGTGCACCTGTCATCTCCTCTTCCTTCCAGATAATCCACACTTTCTGCTGTGCTTCAGTCACGCTCCTTCCTCCATAATCTGCAGTAGCTCCCGGATGTCCACTCTTGGTCACGCCCTAGATCTGGCATTCAAGACCCAGTCTCAAAACACAGTCAGTCAGTCAGCCAACACACCTGCCTCCTTCCACCCTGCGACCATTCCACCTGGGAACATGGTTGCTTTCAGAAACACATGCTGGCAAACAAAAGACTCTGAACTAAGGAAAATGATAGTTGAGATAGTGTGAGGCAAGGGGGACCAGTTGGTGGATTTGCCTGAAATGCTGTTACATGGAGAAGGCAGCCCACTGCTCAGCACACATCCCCCTTGTCTGCTCCCTCAGGAGCCCCCTCCTGAGTCCCCAGGGCGCCCCTTCCTCAGAGCCCTCTAAGTAGTCTAAGTGATCCTCTGACTCCTTGCCCTGCTGTGCCTCAGAGGCACCCAGGAGTGCAGAGGCTTGGCTCTTGTTCAGGCTCACCAGCTAACTCTGCATTAACCTTGAGCCTGGACTTCCCCAGGCCCAACTGTGTGGAGTGGGGTGAACAACTCCCAGGAGCTCACTGCTCACCAGCACGAGGTAACACCTGGTCACTCACAGCCAACTCGCCATCATGTAGTGCAGCTGACGTTTGGTATCTGAAGGGTACTGGTTCCAGGGCACCTGCAGATGCCATAGGTAAGCTGCATGGAAGTCACACACAGCCTAAGTGCACACTTCTGTCCAGTGGAACCCGCACACAGGCTGAGCATCACAGACCTGGCCATCCCACACTCCCCAAGATGTGACAGGTGCAGCTCTGATGCTGTGTAGTCTAGGAGATTATGACAAGGAAACAAAATGCTGACTT